AAATTTTCTGTATTCTAGAAGAAGCATTCAATAAATATTCCTATTCTCATGACAGTACCCGTCCACCCCCACTTCCCACCGATAAACTGACTGCATTAATGCAACATTTTTTATATTCAACTAAAATAGCAAACGAAAAGACAGTAAAAAAAACGATGACAAATATGAAGAAAAAAAAGCAAAAACTGAAACAAACAAAAGTGAGCCAAAAAAATATAATAACTAAAAAAAGTGACGATAATATTATTGAAACCCATAGATTTCAATTAAAAAAAAAAATTTTCAGTTTTTTCTATCTTCTTTTTTGGCTACAAATATACGGTGCCATTGAAACATCAAAAACAAAAAAAAGAAAAAAGACAGAACTATTTCATTCATTTAATTCAAACACTCAATTTATCAACAACTGTAATCTGTACAGAAATCTCATAATCCAAAAAGAAAAAAAAGTCATAATCCAAAAAAAGCCAGATATCAATATAAACAGAAAACATTTTTGAATTCAATTTTGGCAAAATTTATACATCCTGTTAACCGAGTAAACCATCCAACAAAACCAACAACAATTTGATATTATCGGCAATCAAATTGAATAAACTTTCGCCCTTTAAAATCCGTTTCAGTTCATATAAATATGATTATGAATAAAACACACCAAGAACAACAGCAACAACAACAACAACAGAAGCAAAGAATAAAAACAAATGCGTAAAAATCATAAAACATCTACTTTTCTTTTTCCTTGAAAAAAAAAAAAAAGACTGATAATTACAAAAATAAAATTACCTTGAATAAATATGAAACCTTTAAAGTGTTCCAAAATTAACAACCCTTATAAGTGTAAATATAAAACAGCGTGTTTTTTTTTCTTTGGAATACTAAAGACAATTGAAAAAAAAATCTCTGGTTTTTGATTAATACCTTTCAAAAATAGACAAGCTTTTTTTTAAAAAACATATTTCTGTACAATCATAAGTACGTATAATCAAACAATATACCCAAACTTGCCTCCCTCCTTTTCCAGCTCCTTAACCCTCTCTTTCTTCCATCATCAACTCCTTCGCCTAATTCATTCATTGTTCAACTGCCTCAAATAAATACGCAAATACACATTCGCAGACATACAAACATAACTACACACACCAACACACAAACACACACACACACACACACACACACACACA